TCCAGCAGTGAAGAAAACATTTCATTTCCTCCAGCATTCTAGAGTTGCTGCCAACATCTTACTTCTTCCACTTTTTCACCACTACTGATACTCATAAACAAAACAAAAAACTCTCTTCCACTAGTCTACTAGCACCGCTGATGCTGGAGCATCTCACCTCCGCCATCTTCCACCACCTTCCCAACAGGGGTGTAAAAGCCACCAGCCTGGAGACTATGTTTACCAGGGGAAAAAGCCACCGGGCTCTTCGGCCGCAATATCGCTCGTAAACGCGTCTCGTTCAGCGCTCGCCTAACCTTCTACAAACAGACGATCAGCGTGGAAAAAAATACAAGGATTTAAACTTGTGCCAGGAGGCCCAGAAAGGCGATTTAAGGATTTTGAAAGTACTGGAGAGATTTTTGTTGTTATTGTAATAAAGGCGAGTTATTTACCTCTATATTGATTATTTTTATTGTAAATATTGTTATTGCTTTTATTATTATTATTATTATTATTATTATTATTATTATTATTATTATTATTATTATTATTATTATTATTATTATGGTACAGTAGTACAGTAGTAATAGTGGTAGTACTAATAGTAATAGTAGTAGTAGTAGTAGTTTTTGTAGCAGCAGCAGCAGCAGAGTAGTAGTAGTAGTGTGTGTGTGTGTGTGTGTGTGTGTATGTGTGTGTGTGTGTGTGTGTGTGTGTGTGTGTGTGTGTGTATGTGTGTGTGTGTGTGTGTGTGTGTGTGTGTGTGTGTGTGTGTGTGTGTGTGTGTGGGTGGGTGGGTGTGTATGGGTGTGTGTGTGCGTGTGTAGACGAGGGCGTTGGGAAGCTGCCGCAAGCCAGATAACCACAAGAGGAGTGAATCACTGGCGTAATAATCAGCAGTGACGCCGTCACTGCATCAGCGGTAAATGGACAACCCATGTGATTGTAATGACTGATGGCGTAATTACTCATTTCCTCGATGAGCGGCGTAACTAGCGCAGTGATGGCCCATGATTGTGTTGCTAATTGATGGAGAAACAATCACTAGCGAGGACGAACCTGTACGCTGTACGATGAATATGCACCCTTCGTTAATCCTTTCTGATCTCTCTCTCTCTCTCTCTCTGTCTCTGTCTCTTTCTCACTCTTTCTCTCACACCTGTGTTTCAAATCAGGATCTTAGAGGTAATTTAGCGTGTAGACCCTTCATGCGGAGTGCTTAATGCTAGCGAAGAGCTCTTCATCCAATAAATTAGAGCTATTCTCTCTTTACTCTGTTCAAAGCTGATAGACTCCCATTTCCATGGAACTGCATGACCATAATCCAACTCATTGCTTCCCACTGTATATAAAAATGCTCTGCACCTAGGAGAGTGGCATACCCATGACGGACCTGAAGTTTCCTGGGGTTCTAGCGACTTTGGGTTCCGGGCCATTTTGAGTTCCTGGTAAGGAACGGGCGGAATCTGAGGCGATGGCTACTATATCGTGCCCGTTCTCAGTGAAAAATTTCGATGCATATTTACGCGTACGTCTCTGGGAAGTGGGTCTGAGTGGGTCTTACAGATGATCAGCAAGTAGGACGTGAGTGGTTGCTTGTCTGTCCTCTATGCACAGGAGTCGTCATTGTAAGAAGATTCTCCGTAGAGTGAGGCTGAAGAGAATGAGCATCACCCACATCCACCTGTCTGCTGTCTGGTTATCCTGGCCTTATCAGTGTGCCACGTGGAGTGCTGCTGTCTCTGGAACCTAATTTTTATGGTTTGTCAATAGCTTCGGCCATTCTGGATTGAATTTTATGACTGCCGGGGTATCTATCCGGATCTCGCACTTTTGAAACCATCTATTTCATATTTAGTTTGGTATAAACATAGTATATTTTAATCTAATGTAAAGATATTGTTTAATCATGTGCTTCTTAGTTTTTCTTTAGGAAGGTTAACTAGGCACTTACAACACTTGCGTATCTTCACTAAGAAGTTTCCCAAGTCAGTGACTTTTTCAGTTCAGTGCAGGAATATAGTGGACATAGAGGAAGACGAGGTGTTGCACAGTTATATTATTCACCAACCTGTCCGTACTGTATACTATTAATGTAATGATATATAGGGGTTAGTTTAACTTAGCGTGTATAATATGCGTTTTTTTTAGGAAAGTTTAAGTGTACTGACAAGAGCAATGACTGAGCTGTTGGTGCCATCACTGTGTATATTTTAAAACTTCCTTCGTGTGTTGCACACTCTAGATTTTAAGAATTCATCCTCACTGCTTCTCTTTGCTCCCAACAGCGGCATGGCTGGAGTGGCAGCAGCTGCAGCAGCGTCAGCAGGAGGGTCACGTCACAGCAGTGAGAGCGACGTCAGCAGCGAAGCGCCGAGCGAGAGAGGCTCTACTACCGCTCTCGTAGACGAGCCTCATAGATTTTCACGTTCATCCATGAAGAGACGCTCTTCCTACCGCGCCTCCAGGGTCAAGAACCAGGACACCAGTGACCCCTACGACGCTGACGACCAGACTGGTGAGTCGTCAACATGACGCATAGTTCATCACGAAATAGGATAAAAACCTCCTGACGGGACTCAGTTCAATGATATCCCACCACTGGTTACATGATCCACGTCTTACGCTGGGAAGCCTGTTCTCTTCATCTAAAAATTATAGATAAATGGTTCAGAAGAACCGAAAAGTTTATAAATTAGACACGTATAATACTTGGGTATCTCTATTGTGGAAACGTTCTGAAACACGTTGTGTGGCGAAACGTTTCCACAACAGAGATACAACTCAGTGCTGAACATGTGTCAAATTTATCCAAAAATTAAAGATAACATTTTTCGATGTAGGATGATTGCTTGTTGATGCACCTGTGTGGCTGACCACTTCTTTCCTCTTAAGATGTTTACACAAATGATCCATTAGTAGTAGAGAATTGGCCATTTCCATTTTTCTTTCTTCCTTTTAAATTAAAGCATTTCGTCTGCTAAGTTGACAAGCACAGAAGGGAGCGATAAATTCTTCTTTATTTCCTCTTCTTCTCCTACTTCTTCTTCGCCTTCGTTTTAATCTATTTTGACTGCTAGGGTCATTGACACTCGAGGAACTGATTAGTTCATCAGTAAAGTGACCTAAATATTTACCTTAAAACAAATGATTCTGTTGAGCTCGTAAGCTTAGAGGTAATATTGTGTGTGTACTCACTCATTCGTACTTACCTATTTATGGTTGCAGGGGTCGATTTATAGCTCCTGGCCCCGCCTCTTCACTGATTGCTACTAGGTCCTTTCTTTCCTTGCTCAATGACCTTTATCAAACCCCGTCTTAAAACTATGGATAGCTCCTGCCTCCACTATATCCCTCTGACTCATCTGAGTCTCAAACTTCCAACTGTGACCCCTTGTTTCTGTGTCTCATCTCTGGAACATCCTGTCTCTGTTCACCTTGTCAATTCCTCGTAGTAATTTGTATGTCGTTATTATGTTTCCCCTAACCCTCCTGTCCACCATTGTCGTCAGGCCGATTTCCCTTGACTTTTCTTCGTAGGACATTTCCCTTAGCTCTGGAACTAGTCTTGTTGCAAACCTTTGCACATTCTCTAATTTCTTGACGTGCTTGACCAGGTGTGGGTTCCAAACTGGTGCTGGTGTGTGTGTGCTCACTTAGTTGTGGTTGCAAGGGTTGAGTTACAGCTCCTGGCCCAGTCTCTTTACTGGTCACTACTAGGTCACTCCTACTGCTCCATGAGTTTTATCATACCTCTTCATAAATCTATGTATAGATCCTGCCTCCACTACATCACTTCCCAGACTATTCCACTTCCTGACAACTTTGTAACTGAAGAAATACTACCTAACATCCCTGTGATTCATCTGAGTTTTCAACTTCCCTTCTTGCCGTGTGTGTGTGTGTGTGTGTGTGTGTGTGTGTGTGTGTGTGTGTGTGTGTGCGTGTGTGTATGCTGTGTCGTGTCGAATAAGCCAAACCGGCGAGTTAGGCCTCTAAGCAGAAATTTGTTTATGCCCCAAATCTGTGAAAATCCGTCTAAACATCACGAGCTACACAAAGCACCACACACAACATAACAGAGAAAAACAATAAACTGCAGGAAGTCTGTCGAAACGGAATGAAACCCAATTTGATCCATCAAACTCAATTAATTTTAGTTTGACATGCTTTTACACCCTTTCTGCCTGTCGTCCTCTTTCCCCTATCTTTCCCCTTCTCTCTTTTTATCTCTGACTGTCTGTCGCTCTGTCTGTCTCCCTCTTTCTCTTTCTCTCTCTCCATACTTTTCCGTCTTTCAGCCTCTATTTATTCCCTCGAATTTCTTGCCTTCCTGTCCTCCGTTCATGAATTTCTGGGTACTTCCGTTCCTGTCCTCCCTGTCTTCCACGTCTTGTTCTTCCCGTCTGCCACCCGTCTCAAGTCCTCTTTGACCCTCTTTTATTCTTCATCTCTTTCAATTGCTGGCATCTTCATCCTTCCCCAGTTCCCAGTAAAATTTTCAACCACTTTCTATTGTGAAAGAAAATGTGGGGTTAGTGTGTTATTCATTTGTTCTCTTTATCTTATTATTTTCTTTTTATTCCTCTATTTTTTCTTCTCTTAGCTTTTTTCTTTTCTTCTTTTTTCTTCTTCTCCTTCTTATTTTTCTTTTTCTTCCTCTTCTTTCTCTCTATATCTCTTTCTCTTCCCCTCTCTCTCTCTCGCTCACTCTCTCTCTCTCCTTTTTTTTACACAGGGTTTGACAAGGTTAAGTATCCCTAACTTTATTGACAAGCTAAGAGCTGTTACCTACATCAGCTCATCTGAAAGCATTTTTATTGTTATGAAACATACAAGTAGGGAACAGGATGAAGTTGGAGCCATCTGTGGGCCAGCATTTCCATTTGATCATCTGACTTCATCTCGTTGACATCGTAATGCTGTACGAATGTGTTCCATACTCGAGCCATCTTGGGGATAAATGATCTCAGATGAAGTGATGTTCTGGAGAAGGGTACAGCCAGAGTGAAGTTGCTGCTTTCTGCCCGTCTTGTGGCATAAAAGCTTGTTTCACGCTGTCCTCGAAGTGGATCCAAGTGTGGTACTTCGACAATATTAGCCTTGTACATAACAGCAAGGCCACCCACATCCCTCCTGTGTTGAAGGCTCTGCTGCTGAAATGACAGATCTATCCAGGATGGGTCCAGGCGAGAGATGAGACGTCTTGCTCTGTTCTCTACTCTGTCAAGCAGTCGCAGATGAGAGGGGGGCAGGCACTCGCTCTCTCTCTCTCTCTCTCTCTCTCTCTCTCTCTCTCTCTCTCTCTCTCTCTCTCTCACTCTCGCTCTCTCTCTTTCTCTCTTTTCCATTGCTATTATAAATATACAGACTGGAAACTCCTATTAAATTCTACTTACCTCATTATAAACCCTCTTATATATATAATATATATATATATATAATATATATATATATATATTATATATATTATATTTATATATTTATACATACATAACATCATATCTTATATATAATTTAGAACTCATAAGATAAGCAAATAAGTAATAAGATAATGGTATGAGGATGAGAGAAAGTAGAGAGAGAGAGAGGAGAGAGAGAGAGAGAGATGAAAGAGAGGAGAGAGAGAGAGTAGAAGTAGAGGGAGGGAGAGGAGAGGGAGAGAGAGAGATGAGAGAGCGAGAGAGAGAGAGAGAAGAGGAGAGGAGGAGGAGAGAGGAGGAGAGAGAGAGAGAGAGCGAGAGAGAGAGAGAGAGAGAGAGAGAGAGAGAGAGAGAGAGAGAGAGGAGAGAGAGTAAGGGAGAGGGAGAGGGAGAGGAGAGAGAGAGAGGAGAGGAGAGAGAGAGAGAGAGAGAGGAGAGAGAGAGAGAGAGAGAGAGAGAGAGAGAGAGGAGAGAGGAGAGGAGAGAGGAGAGGGAGAGAGGAGAGAGAGAGAGAGAGAGAGAGAGAGAGAGAGAGAGAGAGAGAGAGAGAGAGAGGGTAGAGAGGAGAGAGAGGAGAGAGAGAGAGACGAGAGGAGGAGAGAGAGGGAGAGAGAGAGAGGGAGAGGAGGGGAGAGGGAGAGGGAGAGAGAGAGAGAGAACGAGAGAGAGAGAGAGAGAGAGAGAGAGAGGAGAAGAGAGAGAGAGAGAGAGAGAGAGGGAGAGGGAGAGGGAGAGAGAGAGGAGAGAGAGCGAGAGAGAGAGAGAGAGAAGAGAGAGAGAGAGAGAGAGAGAGAGAGAGAGATGAGAGACGAGAGGAGAGATGAGAGAGAGAGAGAGAGAGAGAGTGAGAGAGAGAGAGAGGAGGAGGGAGGGAGGGAGGGGAGGGAGGGAGGGAGGGGGGGAGGAGGAGGGGGAGGGAGGGAGGGGGCAGTCGATGCCTTATTTCTCGGTGTCTGGGAGTTGATTGGGTGAGATTGATATTGGCTACCTTTGCTCTAATTCAATTATCGAATTCTATCCCATCGCCTGGACCTTATGTGTGGGTTTGTCGCATTCTCCTTCTCTTCCTTCTCTCTTTCCTTCCTTCCTTCTCTTTTCATCTCTTTACTCTTGAATAGACTCCAATCCTCCTACTACTCCTCTTCCTCTTTTTAATGTTCTTGTATCTTCCTCTTTATTTTATGTCAAAAATGCCTTTTCCGTCTATTTTTTTTTTCGTGTCTACGTCTTTTATTTTGTATTGTATGCAGGTCAATATTCTCTCTTTTCTATTTCTATACTCCCCTCTTTTCACTATATTCTCTTCCTGTATTCCCCTCTTTTTCTTGTATTCCCCTCTTCATCGTTTATATCTTTTACTTTGCCTGTATTCCTCCTTTGTGTTCTTCTCCTTCTGTATTTCCCTGTTCCCATTAACATTTTTCCCTCTTCCATCCTTTATTCCCTTCTCTCTCTATCCCCTCTTTACCCATTGTTCTTTGAATTCATTAGAGAGCAAAATCAAAAGCTCTTTTTTCCTATCCTCCCTCCCTTACTTCACCCCTCCTCTCTTTCTCCCCTTCCTTTCTCTCCCCATCCCCCTCTTTCTCCCCTCTATCCCACTCTCTACCCTCCACTATCCCCTCCATCTTCTCTCCTCCCTCTCCTTCTCTTCCCTTCCCTATACCCTCGATTTCTCTCCTTTACCCTTCTATCCCTTCCCTTCTCTCCCTTTATTTTTCTCCCCTCCAAGCCTGTCCATTCGTCCCTATGTTCAGTATAACTGTTAATGTTTTCTCTCTTAACTGACCTTCTCTTAACTGGTTTCCCCTCTTAACTGACTCTCGCTCTTAACTGACTCTCGCTCTTAACTGACTCTCGCTCTTAACTGACTCTCGCTCTTAACTGACTCTCGCTCTTAACTGACTCTCGCTCTTAACTGACTCTCGCTCTTAACTGACTCTCGCTCTTAACTGATTCTCGCTCTTAACTGACTCTCGCTCTTAACTGACTCTCGCTCTTAACTGACTCTCGCTCTTAACTGACTCTCGCTCTTAACTGACTCTCGCTCTTAACTGACTCTCGCTCTTAACTGACTCTCGCTCTTAACTGACTC